TCTCTCTCTCTCTCTCTCTCTCTCTCTCTCTCTCTCTCTCGCCTATGGTGAGACGTGTAGACTTTATACTTGCCTTCTTTCTGATAAATGATAATAATGACGATGAAAATTTAATAATAATAATAATTAATAATAATGATGATGATGATGATAATAATAATAATAATGATAATAATAATAATAATAATAATAATAATAATAATGATAATATAATAATAATAATGATAATAATAATAATAATAACAACAATAATAATAATAATAATAATAATAATAATAATAATAATAATAATAATAATAATAATAAGAATGATGATGATACTACTGATATAATAACAATGATAATGATAATAATACTAATGATAATGATGATGATATCAACAACAATACAAATAACAACATTTAATAATTATAATGATGATAATAATAATGGTAATGATAATAATGATAATATCAAAATTAATAATAACAATAATGATCTTTATTATACATATATATATATATTAATATATATATATATATATATATATATATATATATATATATATATATATATATACATACACACACACATAAATGTATGTATGTATTTGTGTGAATATACATATATAACATAATGCTATTTTTTTTACAACCTTCTGTTCATATTTACCCAATACCCTTTAAAAATCAAACATTTTTTTCCACAAGACGTTATCCTTGTATGCATAAAATAAGTTGTGTAGTTCACCTTAAAGAGTGCATTTGTAATCAACACATCAAAGCGATAATGAAACATGAAAAAAACAACAAAATAACCTATACCATTTAATGCATACTAAACCAGAGATGAAAACAGTGCATGATCCATTTCTATATAAGTATCCCGTCTGTTGCTCAATACCTGTCGTTAGTGATACATTTCCTCTGTTCTTTCCTCAAGGATCTTGGGGCAACATACGCATTAAGAAAAAAAAAAAAAAAAAAAAGAAAAGGAAAATGATTTTTTTTCGATTGTGTCTCTGTGTTTGCCTTACCGGGTCTGTCATCGTTTATGTTTCAGTCCATTTTACTCTTTCTCATTTCTTTCTTTATGTGTATTTTGATATATAACTTTCATAATCGTATTTTTTTACTTGATTTTCTTTTTATAAATTTGAAAACAGCCTTGATCGTAGCATTTTCTACATCTTATTGGTACTGCGTTAATGATGTACAGATACTTTACAGATAGGTAGATAGATGGTTAGATAAATAGCTAGATAGATAATACGTAAACAAATAATAGAGGGGTAGTTAGGTAGGCAGACAGATAGATAGGTCAACAGATAGATAACCACGTCATATATGCTGATAGATTTGTAGATGGATATAAATAAATATGATGATAGACAGATGGATAAATAGAGTGATAAATAGATAGACAGACAGACAGTCATAGATATAGAAACAACACACATCTAGTAGAACAAGACCACACCCTCCCACACGCCACTACCCCTCCCCCATCCCCACCCCCGCCCACCCCACCCCCATCCCCGCCCACGCCCGAATCCCCAAGCTCTTGCAATCACTTCCGGAAATTCTTTACGCAACGGAAGGGGCTGTTCTCTATCTCTCTCTCTCTCTCTCTCTCTCTCTCTTCTCCTCCTCTCTCTCTCTCTCTCTCTCTCTTCGCCCCTGACATTTGGAATTAAGAAAGACAAAATGCTTTGGAATGAAAAATTTTAATTTGCCAAGGTCCTGTTTCCGCGCTTTTTTAATGGGGAGGGGGAGGGGGTGGCGGAGGGGGGAGGGGGGGAGAGGGTGGGGGAGGGGGGAGGGGGAGGGGAGGTTGCATTGCACATGAGGCGTTGAGAATGGGATCGCCGGACTCTCCTGTTTTGAGATAAATGGGTATAATGTTTGCGTCTCCCTCTGACCGCGAGTTTTACACCATATCTGTAACCTCAACTCTCAGCCATTGCTATGCGAACCAAAACCATGTCTTGCCATAAGAAGTCAAAAAAATCATAGAAAACGGGGGGAGGGGGAGGGCATTTTTGTTAAGGTGGCAAGTTCGGCTCATTATTTTCTTCTTCTTCACCCGTCCATCATTTGCTTCTCATTCGTCTATTTTTCCTATTCTGCCGTCCACTCTTCTTAAACTTAATTTTCTCTTCTCCAATTTCCTTCTTTGCTTCTGCTTCTTTATGATTTTTTTCCTTTTTCGTCGTTGACTTCTAATTAAATTCTTCTTTTTCTTTTTCTTTTTTCTTTGTTCTTCTTCTTGTTTTACCTCTTCTTATTTCACTTCTTCTTCTTCTTCCTTTTTTCTTCTTTGTTTTAGTCATCTTTTCCTTCTTTCTTCTTTTTCTTAACTTCTTCTCCTTTATCCACTGTTACTTCTTTTGGCTTCAAATGGAAGGAAAACTTAATCTGCAAAAACTCCTTATTTTGAAGGACGAAGAGGAAAGGTGGGAGCTTCCATTGTCAAGATTGTCCCAAAGGTTTTATTTTATTTTTTTTTCAGTGCCACGACT